TATTATTTAAGTGGTTATCAATGTTTAGTGAAACGAGTTCCTGTTCCTCGTCAATAAGATTGAAATGAACGTTAATGGTACAATGAATGTTTAAGGTGTTTGAGCAGAGAATCTACGGAACATTAGACTAAGTTTACAGTGCAATTGGTTGACGAAGGCGGTATATACGGCGTCAGTAATGGAGAAACTGTAAAGTGTCTGCAAGAAACTACAGACTAGCCTTTGTTCTTAGTTTAAAGGTTTAAAGCTAACGGATATGGATATAGCGTTCAGGTTTCGAATGAGCAACTTTGTACCAACGTTTAGTTACAACTGTTAATAAAACGTTTATGGTAGTTTCAAAATTTAATTCAAAACGTACCTATTTTCGATAGACGATAGAAAATCAAGCCCTTTTTACGGCCGTATCTCAATCGCTTCCCCCTGTAATGCGATACGAAGTTATCGATAAGCTATTAACACGTTGTATTGGGACTATAAATGAAATCCCGTCGCCCTCCTCTTTGGTTTCTATTATGTCTGTAATGTGATTATTGGGTATTAGTATCTGCTTTGTCACAAACTCATTGATTTAATAGTCATCCCGTTAACTTCAAAAATGTAGAAATAATAATGTAAATGTATTGGATATAAGAAACTCAAAATTTATACAATACAAGCGTCAGCAATAAATTACAAAAAGATAAACAAATCATTTCAAATTAAAGTTTTTAACCAATAAAAACTCGAGCGCTACAATTAATTCAAATCGATTTCCACTTAAGCAAACGTTGGCCGCAAATGATCAGAATTTCAAATTCAGCTTTCAGAAAACGCGGCCAGCATGGTGTAAAGGTTCTTTTTTATTCCAATATGCCATTTATACGGAACGCGCCAAAAGAAATAGTAGTTGCAGCCGAGTTAGGTTGGCCAGCCTGATACTATCTTGGCAGTTGGCACACCTGACCGACGCTAATTGGACAATAAATCAATTCTTCCCCGCTTCTTATTGGCGAATCGTGGCATTCCAATATTGAAAATTTGGCCGCGCGATATTGACAACATGATAAAAAACAATAGGCGGTTATCTTTTTCTTTTGTGTTCATCTCTGGACTCCGGTTCTTATTAAGGCTGAATCGTTTTATATTTTGTTTGTGTCAGACCCAATGTCTTATCGGTTAGACAATTTGTTTTTGGGAGCTCGTTATTGAATTATTAATATTGATATTTTGTGCACTCAATTGATGTTAGATACATTCACAATAAATCATGGGGTACCTATTGTTCTTTTTTTTTTAAATAAAATTGTCGAATCATTTAATCTGAATAAATATCATTAATGCAGCAGAGAACGCGGGCGTCATCCATTATTAGAGTTATTAACAAAACGGAACGCGCGCCCGGCTAATCTGGGCGAGCTCTGAGCGTAATTAAATTCTCAGAACAAGCGAGCTATTAAAGCGAAACGGTAGCGCGACGCCCATTACGAAACGGAACGTGCATAATTATTTCGTTCCCGCCTTTTTTTTCTTATTCTCATTTTGATTTTCGAAAGCCCGCGCTAATGTACCGTCGCTGCCCTCTGGCACGAAACCTTGTAAACAATGTTCTCGTAAAATCTTATTCAATTACCGTCTGCCTTCACTTAATATACTGATTAGTTTTCGAACTGTTAATTATATTCAGACGTAAAGGACCGTGGAAATTAATAAATACTTTAATACCTAATAAAGTATGTGTGTGTTCTTGGAATTTTGTAATGCCCATTGCCCATAGGTACTTATCAAGACAAGTTGCAGTCTATGTATAATCTGGTCTAACAGCAGCGCGGGCAAAAACTGTACACTTTTTTCTTTGGATACAGACCACCAAGGTATTCAAATGAGGCATATCATTAGCCGTATATAAACAATGTCGTAAAATGACAGGTAGCAGAGCTTGTCACATCCTTCGTATAATATTATTCATGTGGTGTTATCGGTTTGACTCATCTACCGTTCTTCGTACTGTTAACATGTATTTTGACAGATGACATAAGTTTGGCGCCGTATCGCCGGTTTGTCATCTCGCTACGATGAAATACAATTCGGATGTAATAATAAGCTCCCGTCTTACGTTGCTTGATAAACTGAGCGGTGTAAATCAAGGTAATATAGTGTTATTTTACCAACATGTTTGGGTTGGTATTTAAATAGCTTTTGTTTCAATATCATTGCACTTATTTTATGTTTTAATAGATGTGATAGCTAGAAAGAGACAGGTATCTCCATTTTGTTTTAATATATTAAAGTGGCAGACATGCACTGATATCGATATATTCCTAAAACTGTTCTATTACTTCCATAGTTATCCATTCGTATTAAAAAAACAATCGATGTAAAGGGAAATTATAATCGTCTAATTCCTTTTCAATCACAATCGTTATTTGAGTACCTACTACTATATTACTAAAATATTTATATTGACTAATCTCTTTTTTGTGTTGGCACAACAAAAAACCAAAGGCCTCTTGCAACTTGAAGTGTTATAAGATGGTAAAAAAATCCAACTTACTTATTAGGATTTTACCTAAATTATAGTCCACCCACTCTCTCAAAAAATATCTACCCAATATATTTAGTCCCGATGGTTATCACGAAGCGCACGAGTCAAACTGATGGCTGCTGGTACAAAAGAATGATGTATTTGTATTCATTCTAGCTCGCGGACAAGTACCTATGCCAAGAATTTGTCTTTGACAAATATGTATCGATGACCAACTGACATGTGACAGCAGGAGCTTTGGAAACAATTATTTAAATTAATAAACCTGACACTATGGTAGACCCGTAGACCGTGAATATGTTTAGAGGACTTTTTGTGTTAAACAGGCAACGCAGCAGAGTCCATTTAAAAATTGCTTTTAGCGTAAATCGTAACCGGTCACATATAAACAAATTCTCTACTTTTACAATTACAACAAAAAGCGTTAATCGGTTCCGTTGGCAAAAGAATACAACGCCATCTAACAAAAGATACTTGAACTATTTAGCAATACTTGAAGCCTGAGTTATATAAAAATACACTTCTAGTATGAATCCATACCTATATTATACATGTGAAAGTGATTTTGTTTGTTACGCTTTCAGCTTAAACCACTAAACCGATTTTAAGCATTCTTTCACCAATGGAAAGCTATATTTTCGGTGAGTAACAAAGGCTTTTTACCTCGAAAACCGACATACACGCGGGCGAATCCACAGGCAAAAGCTAGTAGATAAATATATTTTTACACTAAGTTTAGTCGTAATTATGTGAATTGGTAAATGCTAGGTTACTATATTAAAGACAAATGCAATTTTCAACTTATTTAAGGAAGCTTTAATTTTTCTAAACTCTATTTTAAAATAACTAACTAACTAACTAATTAGACTCAAATTTAAAATTTTAAAATAAAAAGCCTATGTAATAGATCTTATTGCAAGAATGTAGAAAGCAACCAATCGCTTTCTTGCAAATTGTTTGCCACAATACCATCATAAAGATGACCAGAATTAATAACTTATTGGTCGATTGTTAGCACAATTTGTGCGAAACGACCCTTTTAAAATTATTATTTTTTAGTGGTCGATTCACACGAACTGAATTTATTAGTGTGCAAATCGACAACTCTAGCAAAATGTATTTTTAGCGGTTTGTTAGTAATAGTAAGGCGTAGAGTATTTGTTGTTTATCCGTGTGGTGACAGATTAAGAATTATAGTGCTTTATCTATGATTAAGAATGCGGAATGTCACCACCCCTATTCATTTATCAAGTGGGTGTCGTGAGAACCGACTAAGAGAGCAAAGAGAAGGAACGAACGAAAGAACGCGACCCGCATTCTATACCAACCCGTCTAGCCAGCGTGGTACTATAGGCTAAAACCACCTTTCTGAGGAGAGTCCTATTCCCAACAGTGGACTAGTAAAGGCTGTTGATGATAATGAAAACCTACATATATACACATACCTACACTCACGTCTTCTATCCCCGAAGGGGTTGACTAGGACGTATTAATCGCCTTCAGTTTGCCAACTAATATTTTAGTTGTTCGTACCTATCACATAATGATTTTTGCTATGTAATAAAACGTCCCCTAGTAATATTTAACTGATTTTTTCGCAGTCATTTCTGATTAGATCAGTTTCAAACAGCTGACTATTTTATTACACTGCTTTGTAAGTTATCTTGGGTTTCCCATATTTTACTCTGTGGGTGTCAGGTCAGAGGCCAGTCAATTTGACTGTTCTGACACCCACCACAGAGTAAAAACTAGAGATGTTACGATCTGGTAATTTGTCAATCTGATTTAAATCGGTTAGACAATTCGTGTGAATCGGTTCTGAACTGAACCGTTGAAATTGCAGTAAACCAAAGGGTTTAAACCGTATGACGAGTTGACGAACGGGCAACACCACAAACTACCCAGTCCCGTAACACGATTACAATGCTTTCTTTTCTTCTCATTTAGTCATTCGTACATTCTCCGTTGGATCCGAACGGTTAGTAAATCGGTTTATGTATTAAATTATTATAAAATGATGCACGCTAACCGTATCTCATTTCGTAGTAACATAATAATATAGTTTGTGCTTGTAGGTAAATTGATAAAGATTTAGTGTCGTGTCGCGTCGACTCGGTTCAGAATCAGTTGATAGATAACAGAACAAAACTGTTCTGTCGGTAAAGCAGGAGCCGCGATCTCGATCTCGGCTCAAACGGTTTTAACCACTGGCAAATCGATTAAACTCGGTACAAACTCATACCGGTTTAAATCGGTTTGAAAAGTCGAGCCGTCCCACCACTATAAAAACTGTGTCAGTCAATCAAATACGAATCACAGAGTACATTTACGAATACACCAACCAAACAAACAAGAAAAGGACAGCTATTTTCTATAGTGAAATATATTATCTAAAAAAATATCTACTACTGTTACATTTACAAGAAACTAGTCACATTTTATTTATAACTTAGTTATCGTTCTAATTTTGGTCGAAATGGCCGACGACGAGTGTAAGTTGCAAAACATAACCTAACATACTTTTGTTAAGTTTTTGAAGTGAATACATTTCAGTTCCTGAGAGTAATCAATACTTCCCTAGAAGTTTTTGCAGCCATATCTTCTTATAAGAAGTCATGAATAATTAGAATTTAAGTGTAAATCAAACGTTAATATAATATTATTGTACATTGTTAACAATATTTTAGTGCCTTCCGACAGCAGCTTGTTAGTGATAATAGTGGATACAAATCCTAATCAAAGATACATTACTGAAGACCCTAAGGTGCTGACCAACTGTCTCGATGCTGTCATTGCTTTTGCTAACTCACACTTGATGCAGAAGACCAGGAATGAACTCGCTGTAATAGGATGTCACTTTCATAAAAGGTATTTTTTTTCCTATTCCGTTTTAAATTACAACTTTAAATAACACACTAATAAATAAAGCTCAAGATTTATTTGAATGTTTGGGAATATAACATAAAACAATTAAATTCACATCATACATCAACAGTTTTTAATATTCCACTACTGGACATAGTCCTTTCCTTAGAATGGGGGTTTGGCCACTAACCATGCCATTCAAACGGGTTGGATTTGTTTCAAGTTTTCTATGTAGTTTGATTCCTTAGTCGCCTCTTACAACACCCTCAGGATGAATAGGGGTGGTGACACTGTATTCTTAATCCGTCACCACATGGACAATCAATACGATTCACAATAATCTACTTAATATCTACAATAAACTCCACAATTTATGAACCTAGTTAGAAAATTATTGTCTTATTTGTGGGGTGTAACCATTTGGTCTCATTCAAATGGAATAAAGAATACAATTTATAACAATTCATCGTGATGTAGTCGCATTGCAGCCAGAGATACCATTTTAAAAGTTAACAACTGTATTTTGCTATCTTTCCAGTGAATACCTTTACCCGTCACCTGGTAAGCCTCTGGATGTGAGACAAATTGATGGACAGTATGAATTATTCACATTAGTAGAAAAAACTATAAAGATGAGGTTAGTTAACAGAGATACAGTTACATACTCACTTTCAAAGTTGTAGATTATGTTAGGTAAGTTATATCTACATATAAATGTACATTGTATGTAATTTTACATAAATAGACCGTTTTTAGTGAGGTGATGCCACAGCGTCACAGAAAACGAATGTCAAAGAATCCTTTTCCTTTTTACTGAGTTAGTGAAGTTATTGAAGCCCAAACCCCTCTCCTGCCCCTTCTTTTTTTTTATTTCAACATTGGAATTATCTTACTAATATAAAAAGGCAGCAATTTGTATGGATCTATCGACGTTTGTTACTCTTTCACGCAGATACAGATCTAGATGACATTTGGCACAGATATAGATTATAGTCTAGAATAGCACATAGGCTACTTTTAATCCCGAAAAAATGTAATGTTCCCGTAGGATGAACAAGGTACAACAATAACAGTGGGTAACACCAGCTAGTCTATTTCTTCATGTCATTATCTTCAACTAGGTTTATAATTTATTGTTAAGTTAAAAAATAATTACATTTCAACCTGCAGCACAATACACAGCCAAGACTTTCTTAAGGTCTACATTACGTCTCTTTATTTTCGTACTGTGAAATAACATGTAGCTGTTTTAATTGTATTTTCAGATTAGTAAATCTAATAAAAAGTCAACCACAAGAAGATAAACCTGGAGAGTCGCTATTGGCAGGTGCTGTAGCTATGGCTCTCTGTTTTATAGCCAAGGTAAGAGATCCTTCCAATTCCAAGACCGTACCCAATTAACAACCAAAAGTGAAAAAAATATACATACTTCTTTACACTGTAGAATGTTCTCAATTATTAAACGTATATATGTATGCTTCAACTAAATCTAAACAATTAACGAAGAGTTCTTCTAATTTTAGTACCGTCGCAAAGCACCACCAGGTCTACGCATGAGCAGTCGGATCCTTATCGTTACCGGTAGCAGCGACACCGCTGCACAATACATCAACTATATGAATGTATTCTTCACTGCACAGGTCTGGTTAATATACATTTTATCATGTGGATTTGTTTAGTCCCCTGCTGACAGCTGCATGATAGGCTGGTTGGGTATGGGTATGACATATAGGGTGGGGCTTCCTGTCACCCTAGCAGAAGTAAACCTTAGACGGTGACATATCACATTCCAAACCCGTCTCTCTTAGCCAGAGGAAGGCAAGATCCCAGCACTGTATATTCCTATACTCTACCTTCTTGCACTGGGGCTTACAAAGTTGTTTTTTACGTTATTACGGTGTAAGTCAGTTCGATTCCGACTTAACATTACACTTTTAATCTCCATGGGGCGATGATGGGGTTTGAGTGGTTTGAAAAGAACATGTAGCTATAACATGTAAAAATAATTTAACATTTACAGAAGCAGCAGGTGCTAATAGATGTATGCTCGCTGGACAAGCACTTGAGTCTATTGCAGCAGGGCTGTGACATCACTGGGGGGCTGTACCTCAAGGTGCCCACTTTAGAAGGACTGCTGCAGTATTTGTTGGTCAGTAACTTACTCCCTATTATTTTTATCTCTTTGTGCTACACACAATCATAAATTACCGTCGTAGAGACATCACTGAATATGTTTTTTAAATGAAGATTTTTCTTAATACACATTAAGTAAAAAAGTATTCAGTAGAATTATATGCATTTTGAAAGGAAAGTACAAAAAGTAATAGTTATCTACTTAGAATTAACATTTATTATACAAAATGTTGGTTTTAATGTCATTGAGTTAAAACAACACTAGAGAAGCAAACCTCATTATCACACGTCGAAAAAAGTGTAACCACTTTTGAACTTTGACGACGTAGCTTTGATACCACTAAACATTTGAAAGTAAACATATTTATGTCTCATTTACACGCGAGACAAGAACAATACCATCGCTCGGATTAGACAAAGATATAACTTTACGATGGTGGGCCAGTGTTGACTACCGTATGAAATTTTACCCATAACAACTAAGAAACAATTTTTTTTTAAACAATTTTGTAATAAAATAAATTAATTTAAATATTCTAAATAATATATTTCCAATTGAATAGAATAGGTATAAATAATAAAATAACTGGAAATATTTGGTTAAAAGGGTTTATATTCAGTGTAAAATCAAACTGAGCTGTGAAGCATCAGTTTTGTATACAATTGTCTTTTAGACTCTTTTTTATAAGTTTGTGTGGATATTTTACTTTCATGACACAATCTTATTTTTACGTATGTAAAAATAATAGCATTTAATAATAAAGGTGAATGATCAACTTGTACTGATAATAAATAATCCCCAGGGTGTATTGCAAATTCTATAATAATTTAAAAAACAAATAATTTTATTTTTTTATTTTTTTTATTTATATTTTATAAAAAAAATTATTTATGTTTATTTACTTTTTTATTTTATATTTATATTTTTTATTTTTATGATAAACATTTTTTATTATTATTATTATTATTTTGTACAATTATTATTTAAAATTGATAATAAGTTAAGAAAAACAATGAATTAATTCTTTTGTACAAAAGTCTCCAGCACTGCGAGCTTGGCAGAAGTGCCAAGCTGCGTGCGTGCGTTCAACGGGTGCGAACGTTCAACGGGTCCCTAAAAAAAGTGATCGGTCCAGCCCTAACAACTACCGTTCTTCCTATATTTTATTATTATTGGCAAAATGTTTAAAAACAGTATAAAGCATATTATTTCATAAATTATAAATTCTCCCACTAATGTGGGAAAACCAAAATGATTTTTTAATGGTAACACTGATTCTAAATTACAATTATCAGTGTTTTATTTTAATTATAGCCTTATTTACGATATTATCAATACAAAAACCATAAAATTATACGTGAAAAGTAATTCCGCATGATTTATTAATGTTTTGTGACCTTGAATCGCATTCTTTCACTAGGCATTTAGCCATTTTGGCGATTGTTACTGTCATGTGTCGCTATGTTCAACTCGGTTGACGCCACATTGAATACTGAATTGACGTTTGCTACGCATATGCCTGTGGACAGATGTGCAGTAGCAACGATTTTAGGCGGTAATTACTCATCTATGTAAGTATTATATCAATGTTTAATGTATAAAAACGGAATGCGTTTAGCCTGTCAAAACGTTCTTTACTCAATCGTGCATTAGAAGAACTTTGATTGTTTAAAGTCAAGGTTTTTTATGGAATAGGGGCAAACGAGTAGACGCGTCACTTAATGGTAAGTGACTACCACCGCCCATGGACACCTACAACTCAAGAGTCAAACGTGCGTTATCGCAGTCCCTGCGAATTTTGCTGGGCATTTGTATATGTGCTAATCGGAGAGAGAATCGTTAATACCCGATTAGCAGTTACTCTGTAGTTCGGTGTCTCATCGTTAGATGGTGCTGTAGTATGTTTCTTCGTTTCATCGTATGTGGAACTGACACATCGAATTTTTCTGTAACAGTAAGTACTCGTTGTACAACACACACAAAGGGACGGAAATGTGTAACAGGAAACCGGAACAGTGTGCACTATTTGATTTGACCAATGGGTACATATGGTGCTAGAGTTGATCGTCAGTAATGAACACAGCGTATTGTGTCCGTTTATGTGAATAAGCCGCGAGCGTGTCCGCAGTGGGTGTTCCTGCCGGAGGCGGCGGAGCGCTCCAAGCTAGTGCTGCCGGGGCGCGGGCGCGTGGACTACCGCGCCGCCTGCTTCTGCCACCGCGACCTGCTCACCATCGGATACGTCTGCTCCGTCTGCCTCAGTGGTAAGGCCGAAAGCTGCTTGCACAAACCCTTCTTCTTTCTAACAGTATCTAACTTTCGAACTAACGACAGCTAAAAGCGATTGGCTCGATCATATTATCACTGTTTATACGTACTTTATTGCTTTCGAGTTATTTACGTTTTGCATTTGATAAAGAAAATAATATATTAAAACCATACTTACAAATCTAATTTTACAATATTTCAATTTTTTTAACAAATTATGAAAAGAACAAGTTACACCAAACAGTTTTTTCAAATCGTATTTCTTTTTCAGTTTTCTGCAAGTTTAGCCCCATTTGCACAACTTGTCAGTAAGTATAGTTATAAATAATTATAATATATAATTGGTTATCATAAAATCTAATCTACTCACTGATACAAACGTTACGCAGTTCTCGTTAGTTATAAACATATACGTGACCGATCCAGACATGTCACGCTATATTGACTTCACAGACAGACAGCGTCACCGTAATCATTTTGACAGCTCTTTTTAAAATCAGAAAAAAGCATCCTAATTCTTAATATTGTTACGAGCGTAGTATACAATGAAAGAAAAGTAGTCGGTTAATTATTAAAATTGCACTGTATTTACAAACACTCACTATTACAACAAGGAATCACTATATAACTCGTTGGTCGCACTACAAATTCGCTTCGATACTGTTCCGTACGGCCAACACGCTCCGCTTTTATAGTGCTATCGAAATTATTAGACCAATCCCGAACATCCGATGAAACCTTCCAGACAGGACCAAGTATCGGAATCAAGAACCATAATCCCAATGCGTAGCGTTGTGCCCTACTTGATACTAGATGGCGCTGTCTTCCAGACACAACACAAGAACCACTCAATCCTATGCCGCAACAATATTATGATTATTACTATTGTATTTGTTCTTTTTTACGTTTTCACGGCCATACCACTCAACCGATTGTAGTGAAAATAAAGAGTACAGCTTCTTCCGGGTAAAAGAACTTAGGCTAAAAACCTTTAGTCCAGCAAAATAATTCTCTATCGAAATTTCGATAAAAAAATGCAATACAAATCATAGATATCTTTTCTCTATTAGTTGTGCCTATTTTTGCCTTAGCTATTTAATTTGTAAGATCTATGTAATAAAGGTGTTTTCCTTTTTCAGTACGGTGTTTAAGATCGGTGGTCCTCTGCCCATCAAGTCAAAGAAGAAGAAAATTAAGCTTTAAGTAAATAAAATGTATTTGTAACTGTAAATATAGATAAGATTTTTTGTTATATAAACGTAGTTTCAATCATTATGCTATTATCATAACAAGAATCATATCAACAAGATTTTTTTTTTATACATTCGCACTTCCTCGTTAAGTACTGTATATTCAACCAGATGGCGTTAAAGTATATTTTTACTTTATGCGGACATCGCATAAAGACAAACTGAACTACATAATTACTGTTGACGGCTGCACCGCACAATTGAAAGCTCTAGCGCTAAATATTCATTTGTCAATGTTGGACTCAAACCAAATAATTCCTTAACGGAGTCCTACTTCCTTGTAAACTTCGAAACTCCGATAGACTTAAGGGAAGTTGCCCTGTGATTCTGAGAACTACCATCATCCCCCTCCTGGTGCGGCTTTTGATTGACAGAAGAGCCCCCTATTTTTAGTCGCCCCTTTAGCCAAATACTCTCCGAAAGTGTTAGATAATCTAAATTAATTTTATCCTAATCATCAGCCAAATTTGAAAAAGACCCTACCCGCAGACATTGTATTCGGTTGTCGATTGTAAACCACTTATCTATATTCTTGACAACAAACAAGGTCACTGGTTCAATAACACATGGGCTGAAAAGCCCCGGGCCTAACAAAGAAAACACAGTTTATTTGGTTCAAAATTAGCTTTAATCATCAACGTAATCTCCATCAAGAGCAACGCAATCATTCCAGCGCCGCTCTAACATTTCAATACCACTTTTGTAGAACGATTTATCTTTTGCCTCAAAATAGGCATATAGGCGATAACCTCTTCATTCGTGCGAAATTTCTTACCGGCGAGCAGTTTTTTCAGGTCTGCGAACAGCCAATAGTCGCTGAGAGCCAAATCTGGCGAATACGGTGGATGTGGGAGCAATTCGAAGTTCAATTCATGTAGTTTTGCCATTGTTTTGATTGACTTGTGACACGGTGCGTTGTCTTGATGAAACAATTTTTTTTTTCTTTGCCATATGCGGTCGTTTCTTTGCAATTTCGGTCTTCAAAAGCTCCAATAACGCTATATAATATTCACTGTTAATGGTATTTCCTTTCTCAAGATAGTCGATGAATATTACACCACGCACATCCCAAAATACCGAGGCCATAACCTTTCCAGCCGATTGTTGTGCTTTCGGGCGCTTTGGACGAGGTTCACCAGTTGCTGTCCACTCAGATGACGATCGTTTTGATTCCGGAGTGAAGTGATGAATCCATGTTTCATCCATTGTCACATATCGACGCAAAAATTCCGGTTTGTTACGTTTAAACATGGCCAAACACTGCTCAGAATCATCAACACGTTCTCGTTTTTGGTCAACAGTGAGTAAAAGCGGCACCCACTTTGAACAGAGCTTTCTCATAGTCAAATGCTCATGCAATATAAAGCCAACACGTTCTTTTGATATCTTTACGATGTCAGCTAACTCACGCAACTTCACTTTTCGATCATTCAAAACGATTTTGTCGATTTTTTTTATGTTTTCTGGTGTTACCGCCTCATTCGCCAAAACGTTGGTTTGCTGACTTCAAACGTCCACGTTTGAAGTCAGCAAACCAACGTTTTATTGTTGTTTCTGATGGAGCGGAGTCCCCATAACACTTTTCAAGCCATTGCTTCGCTTGAACGGTATTTTTTCCCATCAAGAAGCAGTGTAAAATTAAAACACGAAATTGTTTTTGATCCATTGTTTTGAAAATAACAAAAGTAGCGTCACTCTTAGCACAATAACTCACAAACTAATGAAGAGAATATCATGAAATTCTAACAGCTGTCTTTTGAAGGTTAGTATTAACTGAAAAAAGGTGACTGCAATAAAACTAGCGCCATGTATGTGTTAGGCCCGGGAGTTTTCAGCCCATTAGATGCTTAACTGTTCTTTCTCTGGAACGAAACGGATACCAATGCATTTGCGCTTTCTGACCGTAAAAAACTATCTAGGTACCTATTTCACCTAGGTATCAGGTAGGTAATCAATTCACACACCACGATTCTTACCACGAAAAAATTCGATCTAAATGTTGTACTAAAATTTAAACTTTTAGAACATTTCTAAAAGTGAGAATACGTTGCACCAGAAATTATGTTTTGCACTGCGATCCAACGCTGCGAGCGACCCCCGAGACGGGCAAATTGCCAGCGTGTGCTGATCTGAGCCGAGTCCTCACTGCAATCGGAGTGATGACAGGGGGATTTAATTCCCTACTGGCGAAAGACTGCAGAATCAGTCGTGACCGGAATTAAATTGTTAAAGTTTGAGACTAGTATAACCAACAACAAACAAAACAAAAACAAACAAACAAAAACACAAAGACAAAACCTCCTTTCTAAGGAGAGTCCCATGTCCAGCAGTAGACTACTGTAGGCTGTTGATGATGCTGATGAATACAGGGCCCCTTAATAGAATTTGCTACAGTCCCCGCGCTATCTTAATCCGGCACTGTGAATGGCCATTAGTCTTTCCAACCAGAACAGCCGAATGGATTAGTCTGATCTGTAGGTAAGCCCGTTCATCCAGACAAGTATTTTTAACATGCCTTTATTAGCTTTACTGGTAAATAGTTACCTACTAGATAAACAAATAAGGGAGGCAATTAAACCAACTTCAAAACGTCGGCGTCCGTATCAAAATAAAATTATGTAAGAGTATGAAGTGTATTAAAGAGCTAAGGAGCAGATGGATATAGAAATTATTTAAATACTTTTGCTTGGTAACAATGATGAACACAATAATCTCGTGATTAATGCAGAACGTGATAGTGGAACTCCTTCTTTACCTTTTTCATTCATACGTCACTCAAGGATGCGTTTTTGTTTGACCAAATCATAATTAACTTCAATGTCATACACAAAGTCAAGTTAAAACGCATTGTTTCTTTTACAGACATGGATTATGAATTCAATATACCGTTATCGCTTATCGTAAACTCCGATAATATTATATATATATTATAATTGGGTACCGATAAAGATAAGTTATCGCTCGCAACTAAGCAAAAAGCTGCCACTTAAGAATAGCCTAGCTGATCCTTGCCTCCGAATATGATGTTGGCAGTGATGAAAACATTTGCCGTATATAAATTGTGAATAACCAATGAGACGCATGGTATTGCACGTATTGTGACGTAACCGTTACGTAGCTTAAGATTAGTGCCATCCTTTGTCACCAAATGAACAGTTTGCTTCCCTTTTATCTCAGGTTTTTTTTTTAGTTTATTAACGAATATTAAATAGCGTAAATTGCCTGTTTACATTAAATATGTGTCCCAAAGACATTAAGTAAGTAGGTAGGTATACCTAATATGAGACGGAGAAATTATGTTTGTTACTATTTTTCATTGCTATTATTTTTTAATTATATTAATAAACAAAAATGGATTTATGATAGCAATTTATGACGTCATTAAGTGCAATTTCACACATAATGCTATCAATATACAAGAATGATACACATATAATACATTTATAAATAGTGTCCTGACTAGTCCTGAGCATCATTTAGATACCTATAAGATATCATGTATTATACGTATTTTTATTCGCAAGCGCTTTGTTCATTCATAACTGAAAATAGTAAATATTTTTTATGCTATTATATTACTACTCGTCAGCGATGACCTTAATTCAGGGTTACATGTCAACGCAATTAAAAGTTCAATTATTTTAATAATCAGTCTTTAATTCCATGCAAAATATCTACAAATAAACACAGACACAGATATCATTACTTAAACATTGTACATCATAATCTCAGTTGACTCTCACCAGATAAGTGATAATAACAGTTGTTGTATTATCTTTTATTCCTACATACATGTTTATTACAGCGATGCAAATATATACAATATATTATGTGCAAATAACACAGCCATAAACTTTACAATTTTATTATTTATTGATAAAGATTACTAAATGTATAGGTAGATTGCTGACCTAATATTGCAAGTTAAAATGGCGAAATTTGTCTTTTCCGCATTTAAAAATTATCTATTTTATTTTTTATTTTTTTTGAAGTGATAGTTATTCTGTATAAAAAGTTATACAGAAGAACCGAGATGTTCTGTGTTTCAGTAATAATAATATCAATATATTCTATAACCTACCTAATTTATAGTACAATATTTAAATATGTAGTATGACTGAAGTATTTTTATTAATCTCTTTAAGTAATATCTATACTGCTTGACCAAGCTTGAAGCTTTTTAAAAAAAACGAATACTATTTGTACCCACGACGGCATGGAGAAGGTATATTCGTTTAGGGTGAGAGATGTATGTTTCTTTGTTTGTAGCTTGGAATAAATTTAATAATAAATAATTATCAATTATTTAATAATAATAAAAGAAAACGCAACTATGATTGTAGCTATTACAAACAAAAACTCAAATTAACCGTAGACCCTAAGTTAAAATACCGCAAATTTTGACACTAATAATATCACAATGTGTTAATTGATTAGCTTTCTACTAAAAACTGTTAAGTAATTGCGGGAAAAATACGTTTGTGCATTAAATACATAATCAAATAAAATGTTTTGGACCACAGCCAATAACACTTTTTTTTTGTGACCCACAGGTTAACAGTAAGTTCATCTATTGGTTTTTAAACCAGTCTAAAGTTTCCAACTGAGCAGTGCTATGATTTGTCTATGACATTGAACGCGTTATCTATTTCCTCTTCAGGAGTCTTATTGCCACTTTCCAAAGCAAGGGCGTTTAATTTCTTCTCTAGACTGACTTCAAATGAATGTCCGGTTCGGATTACATTTTCTGTTTTCATGTCTTCGATGGAAGAATCGTCATCGAGCCTGTTGTCGTTGCCATCAAAAGTTGTAGGAGCTGTGTTGCTTGCTGGACCGTGGACATGGTACTCGACGTGTGTATGTTTTTTAATTTGATCGATATCTATAGTCTGAAAACCGACATCGAACGTCAATATCTAAACATCTCTTTTAAAAAAAAATTAATTTAAAGAAATTTAAAGATTCGTAAACGGTTCTATTGGTCTAGTGCTTGGCGTTCCTGAATAAGCCTAATAAACTAAGCCAGAGGTCGTGGGTTCGATTCAAGCCCAGGACAAATATTGCTTGGAAATTAATTGCTTAAGACCTTAAAGTGATTGCTCCTAGACATTCGATTATAGTTTACCAATGCAGACTATTCTTTCGCTTGTATAATAATCCAGTCATTGAGATATTTTAAAGAATTAAAAACCGGAAAACTTTTTTCATATTGTTATCGTTTTGTCACTTGTCACGGCGCTTGTCTAGTGTTGCTTTTCTATAAGGCAGTCTGGGATGAGCCTTAGTGTAGACCTTATCATTCTGAGAGCTCTTAAATTTTTTATAATCGTTATTTCGTGCCTATGCTCAAATTAACAACTTACTACTTATACCTAATCTGTTAAAAAATAAATGTAAAAATTAAAAAATTCCGCGACACAAAAAAACTTTTAAAAACAACAACTGCTCATTTAGACTGTTCTAATAAGCCCAAACATGGTATATAATTATTCTGTAATTTGTGAGGAGTTGGCTATCCCGTAGACTACTTGATGCAGCAGCAAGTTCCAGGTTATCATGTCGTGGAAATACCATCAAAGTAACAGTATACGTAATTTCAGATCCATCGGACCTGTGGATTTTAGTGAGATCCCTTCATCACCTAGGAAGAGAGCTGATGGAAGTGAACAAAAAAATCTGAATCGAAATTGGTCCATCCGTTCGGGAGCTATGATGCCACAGACAGACATACAGATAGACAGAAACACAGGTTAAACTTATAACACACCTCGTTTCCCGTTAAATATGCAAACAAAAATGCCACTCTCTATGGACAATTACGGTAAGTATATTTTAAAAGAACACGCTCAGAAAGTGACGAACACTTAATTATTGCAATCGATACTTCAGTAGGCCGTTCTTACAAAATGTTAACTTACAATAATTTATTGTATGTTGGACCGACACAAGTTTATTGGAAAACGTAAGTCAGGGCGTAACGGAAATTTGTCAGGCTTAAAGTTCTCTAGTAGCAACCCCTTGGTCATTAAAATAAGGGCTTTGTATAAAACAAAAAACATAATGTTGCCTGTGTACCTTTGCATAATTGGCACATTTTCAATACAACTTGGTAAACAAGCGTTTATGTTTTTACGAATATTATTGAGAATTATTATATTTTGTGTATTTAGTTAGTAAAACCTAATCTTTAGTATTCTATAGTAAAATTTGATACCACATCATTCGGTTTCTCGATGCATACTTTTATTATTACATAGATTAGGTATCTAATATTTATTAATGACTAGTCAATCAATTGGTGCTAATTCTGTTGTTCGTAAACTAATTTTTCAAATTTTTGTAATCTTTAGATTTACGATAAAGTAGATACTTTTTAAAGATACAAGTTTTAATAAAAAAAACTAAAATATTAGGTCTTTACCTATGAAATTGCCTCAAAAAATTGCCTCGAAGCTCTCCCTCATCCGCCATTCTCACCAGACCTTGCACCTACCGACTATTACTTTTTCAAAAATTTAGACAACTTTTTAGTGGGTAAAAAATTCAATTCCCGAGAGGCAGTACAAAATGCCTTTGAAGAGTTTGTTGCCTCCCGTCCAGCTGATTTTTACAAGAAGGGCATCAATAAACTGCCAATGCGTTGGCAAAGATGCGTCGATTGCATGGGTGATTACTTCGAATAACAGAAATAAAAAAGTTTGAAAAAATAAGTACTTTCACTTATTGCATACAAAACGGCAATTTCATAGGTAAAGACCTATTAGTTAAAATCGTATTTACGATTATAAAAAAGATAAAATCGAGATCCTGCTTCAAGTTAATGTAGTAAAATAATCTATAAGTATCAAAAAAATTCTATCTTGATTAGGTATCAAATTAATTCATCAAACGTGCTTTTCTAAACATGAATATTTAATACAAAGATAATGAGATAGCCCGAAATGCTTTTACCTATCTAGTGATTTGTCGTTATGCTTTGTTAGTACAAAAAAGCCGCTTAAGGTACGGCTTACTAATCTATACTATCGATATTATTGTATATTTATATGTTATACTAGCTTTTGCTGCGGCTCCGCCCGCGTGTTTTTCGGTTATCGCGGTAAAAAGTGTTACTCGCTGATAATGTAGCTTTCCATCAGTAAAAAAAATCAGTTCAAAAAAATTTAAATCAGTTTAGTTTTTTTAAAGCGTAACAAACAAACAAATTCACGTTTACGTTAAGAATATTAGTATGGATTACATTTAATAGGATATAATAAAATTAAAATAGTAATATACGCGAAAAATTTAATAATAATATAAATAATATGTTAGATATTTTACAAAAGCATATACCTACATAACAGCAATAAGAGTATTTAAAAGCTTCCGCCAGAAATAGAGAAATTGGATACAAAAAAGTTCAAGAACGCTCCAGAAAATGGTTTATCAAAAATGCATTCTATATCTAATATTTACAAGAGTTTTTTCTTGCAAAATAATTTGCAAGCTTGTTAACTAAATGTATTCTAATCTTTCATTTTTATTTATAGTGTACTTTACAATTGCAATGTCCGATGGGATAGCTGTTGAAACTTTACCTACTACAAAAAATCTATATACTCGTATGTCTATAAACATCACCTATTCATCCCGTGGGTGCCGTAAGAGCCGACTAGGGACTAAATTACTCAGGACAACAGCACTGCAAAAAGAAGGAAAACTTGACAGAAATCCAGAAATCGTGGTGACGGATTAAGAATACGGAGTGCCACCACCCCTATTCATCCCGTTGGTGTCGTAAAAGGCGACTAAGGGAACTAACGTAGGACAACCAGTACGGCAAAGAGAAGGAAAACTTGACACAAACCCTATACCCTATATTGGGGGAAGACACTGGCACCTGCAACACAGTAGATAATACTAGCGCGGGTGTCAGAGAATCCTGTTATAATTGTACAATATTTATGTCAATAAAGAATATTATTATTATTATTATTATTATACCAACTCGTCTGGCCAGCGTGGTATGGTAGGCCAAAACCTCCTTTCTAAGGAGAGGCCTGTGTCCAGCAGTGGACTGTTAAAGGCTGTTGATGTGATGATGATGTGATGACAAATCATCACTCAAAGATGTTATTCAAGTTATACGCCGAAAATTTCAGTGCGGGCCAATCGCAACGCCGAACGCCGTCACCGTGACGATTGAGTTCCTCTGATCCCAGTCTGAGGGTCACTAACTATTATACCAACAGGCCAGTAGAAAATTTTAATATGAAATATCGGTATACTTACATCTCCATACAATTCCAAAGTTAATGAATGCCTTTTTTTATTCGCCTGCCTCAATCTTCCAGATCTTGATATAGACAACTGTCTTCTGCCATCCATTGGAGGTGTTACACTCTTCTCATCCTCTTCCTCTCCTTCATGCTGAGCTTTTCTTCTTTCCGCAGTGTTAAAAAAGGACTTCAAAAGTTTGGCCATTTTAAGTTTGGATTACAGAATGACCTGAAATGGCAGTTTTAATTATAAGATTTTTCGCTTGCTTCATAAATGCGCTTCATACGCTACCTTGACTTGAGTGGTTACTAAACCGAATTAGAAAGAAGTTAGGAGATATCAAGCAAAACAAGATTGATTTTTATTTGTCTACCTAACCTACCTACCTAACACTACACACTTCAATAAACAACGTATGTTGTTTCGCTCGCTTGTGTTGCTCGAGAATCAATGACTATTCCGATATGTATTTTTATCTACACTAACATAATAAAGTTGAAAAGTTTGTTTCTTTAAACCCCGCTAATCTCTAGAATTATTAGTCAGATTTGAATAATTATCTTTGTATTTAATAGAGTATTGTATTGAAGACCATAGTCATAACATCATGCTATATACTTACGAGCGCAATAGAGATCATAAAAGATAGTGAATGATGAACACCTACTACTTATCTAATATCATTCACTATTAATCTAGATTAAGTGATAAAATGCAATATAAACTTTTTTTCTGGCAACATCCAGAACAATTTTGATGACATGTTGGACCTATTTGGATAGTGTTTGTTCATCAAATTTACTTGAATTAGAATCAGAGGCAGCAATAGTACATAAACAATATAAGAATTCAGTCAGTCAGTTGACCGACTGAAGGTTGACCTTCCAAATACATAATCACGAATCAGAAATCGGAGGTAATGCGAAAAGCAATATCCGAGTTCAGAGTGAGATTTCGATATCCGTATTTCCACGGATTCGGATCGGATCGAACGTAGTGCGAAACCGCTGTAATAGGTACGAGTAGCAATTGTTTTAGAAAGTTGCAAACAACATTAAAGTACGCAAATAAGCACATTGTTGAATACTGTTTTCTAATATTATAAAAACTACATAAATAGTGAAATCACTAGATTTTGATTCGATTATGATAAACTGACAAATAGTATACTCGTAGTAAGTAACCACCGCTTCAGACTTTATGTAGGTAATGCGGGTCTAATAAAGAGAATTAAAATTAAAATGATTAGTTCAATAATAGTAATTCCCAAAATATATATTTGTGTTAGAACCTATTGTGTTTTCTAAAGAATATTTGTGTACAACTTTAAATTCCACGAATCGTTTATTTACCTTAACCGGTAAATTAAAAGCGCTGCATTACTATTGATTATTTTACTAGTAAGGCTTGAATATACTTACACAATATTTATACTTATATAAATTCTCGTCAAATTGCCAATTACTCTTGCAAGGAACACAAAACACTACTAGTCATTTATCAAAACTGCCAGAAAAGCTTTACTCCTTGAGATTTTAGTTACTCGAACGTTACACTTATAATTTTTGTCAAAGCACAAAACATCCAGTCATACATATTTATGAAGAAATTAGATAATAGTTTATTGTTCTCGTTATTTTCATCATAGGATTCACCTTAAATGCACACATCAGCTGACAGATGATTTAAAAAAAAAAACAAGAGAAAACATGGCTGCCACTTTTACCTTACAGCTCCTTCACTCCTTGATAAGCTTGTTTGAATTTTTAATTGCACACTTTCGCCAGGTTGATAACACGCGCGAAATAATACAGGAGCATAAACTCACTGCAATATTCCATATACTCGCCTTCCATTTACCATATTTTCATCTTTGATAAGATAACGATATCGCCGACGCTTTTAATACGGTAATGTTTATCATTATCGTGTGTTAATGGATATATTTAACTTGATTTTGAGATATTGAGACTCGATTGTTGCTGTAATTGAGTTTTCATGCATAATAATAAGTGCTCTGATAGGAATTGTTTTGAAGTTTCGCGGTACGGATATCGGCGGCATTTTTCATGTTTGCTTACCGTTTTTTGTAATTCTAATATTTGCAGAAATTGTACAGTTAGGATGTTTTTACTACCATAAGGAACCATAAGGTAGTTCTAATGATGATAAGGCATGTTTTATTATGGCTGATTTTTTCGGCCGTTTTGGTAGACCTCGTACGATGGTACGGAACGCTTCGTGTGCGATTTCGACTTGCACTTGCCCAGTTCTTTTATACTCACTGTACCTGTCGAAAAAAATGTCAGAGTAACGCAGTTATGATATATTTGATTTATTTACCTACGTATAACTAAACAGGTGTCTGCTAATAAAATAGATAAATTAATAATTAGATTATTTGTTATCTACTAAAGCGGTTAACGTTGATTAAACAGAAGCAAACATTTATTGTATAGGTACATTAATCAACCGTAAGAGCGATAAGTAGGTATACCTTATATGCATATACACAACAGCTAATTGTTTCTCCAAACTTTTATTATGATTAGAATATTATGTTTCTTCTATATTTGTTCAGTTATATGTGTACAGCTAGCAAAAAGTATGTTTTCTTGTTTCTTTTTATCATTTTTAAGTTATGCCAAAAATATGTCCGCTTATGTTATGTGTAAATGCTCGGCCTCCAAGCTTACTAATCTTCATTTTGTGTTTTCATACCATGTCTGGTAGGAAATGGTTCTCGACGAAGGAGGTAGATGTCGGTATATGGTCACAAATTTACCAAGCGTTTAAAGACGCTATGGGTTTATTCATCATTAGCTAGTCATACGTTCGTACCAGGCTTAAGGGTTTAGGTTATCACAGATAGAGAATAAAACGAAAAAGGAGACTCAATAAAAATACTTATAATCTGTTTAAAATGTACAGTAGACAAAATAATAACTATGCGTCAAACAAGCGCCGTTTTTACAAAATGGGAGCTAGGTTTTCAAAAGACTAGCAAAAGTATCACTTACAGGCACTCGAGCGATAACACTTTGTGTCAACAATAAACATTGTTGTAAAAAAGAAAACGTACTCCGGAATGTTTGTTATACAAACTGCCACGGACCGTTATTCAAACAGAATACTAATCGATCCTTTCACGTACCCTATACTTTTAAAACCGTCTCGGCACAGACTGGAAGTAACAATAAACAAACTCTTACATTTACAAACAAATTATATGGATACATAATGTAACTATATGAATTATACACCAAAGAGGTTGTATATAGTGCAGAGTAATGTATAACATTAAAGTAAGTCTAATTGCCCCGTATTTATAATCTGTTCGCCTACTATAGATACAAATTTGTTTCTAAATAAAAAAAATCATTTCAAATGTGAACACTAATTTATATTGTAAGAATAAGAATAAAACCATATCGTTAAATAATTCAAATATTATACTTAAGTGGCCTGTCTGGAAAGTGTGGTATAGTAGGCTAAAACCTCATTTCTAAGGAAAGGCCTTATGTCCAGCAGTGGACTGTTAAAGGCTGTTGATGATGATATACTCAAGTGACTGTAAGTCTAACATCATTATTACAAAATAAACTAAAATATATAAAACAACTTTACATGTTATATACTATGAACGGAATCTACGTTGAAGTTAACTATCATGCCATGTTTGTAAATTATTTAGTATTATTATTATTATTTAGTATTTAGTATTATTCTTGCCAATGTAAGGCAAGAATAATACTAAAAAATAATAAATGTTTTTATATTCACAATATTTAAATATATAATTAACAGTTTGTTATTAGTTATAGCTAAGCATCATATTTAGTACAGTTCAACTGAAAGAATCAAGTATTTACAGTTGAATAAACGTCACAGTTGAGAAATTAGACTAAGCTTCTTTCTCGAATCATCATCATTACCTCGATTTCTGAAAGTTGAATTGTATGATAATCGATTTGTCACATTAAGTTCATATATAACCTTCACGTAGTTAGCTCTTCGAAATATATCGTTTGATATACAGGGTGTTAGGGTATTACTTTCGAAAAGAATGCTAATAAACCGTTGTATTTTTTTTTTGTTGGGAACGATTTTTATCTGATCCAGCATCAAATGTATCATGACTACTATTTAGTCTGTGTTCTTTTTCGTCAGATTTTTCCTAATACCCTGTATAATTATGTATATATACGGTAATTCCGTCAGCCTAGCCACTACGACCAGTGCAACTTGGTCGAAACGCCTGCCCGAGCAATAAAAACGTGATCGACGTGTTTCCATATATATAAATAATTCAATATCATTGAATCAAGGGCGTAACCAGGATTGATTTTAGGGTAGGGCAAAACCAATAATTTCTCATAATAAAAAAAAAAACTCTGGCTCCTGCGTGCACCACGCAGCCATTCGCAAGAGGATTTATATTTCGTACTTTTCCATTATTTCGTATTACAGTATTTAAAAAAAAAAAAAAAATGTTCGTGTACCGATTACGGTATTCAGGATAGCTAATGCCCCACCCTGTCCTACCGTGACCTTGCCCTTGCATGGGTCGCGAAAGTTTAACATTTAGAATGTATCATTATGATTTACATTTCTAAACAGCCCACATTGGACAGTATGTATAACATAAGTATATTTTAAAAATGTACCTGTTCCCAAATTATAAACTAAATCAAATATATCTATAACTTCTATCTTTAAATTTAAAAGCACTGAATACCTGACTATGATTTAATTAAAATGAGAAAATCTATTTAATAAATTATTTATCTTCTTTCCTGACTATAAAGGCACTCCATTATTTCTTTTTTTTTTGTAACAATTGGGACACATTGTCTTACAAATTATACCAATCATTACAAAAACGACTGGTTATCACTATCCAACATAACTCCCCAAACTATCACATAATTGTAGAGATAAATTTCACTATGCCTATTCATATTTACAATACAAAAATTTAGACTAAAATAGTATAGCAAAATGCCGTCCTTATTTGAACTGAATAAGGTCGAATTTGGCACGCTTTACGATTGCTGAAGGATAAATAGGAAACGTGTCATAATATAGGGTTTTTTCAATAGATATTGAGTAACATTTCTAGGTAAAGTGTTATGTTAACTTGTTAATAGTAAAGATGCAATAAACAGCTAAAATATGTTATTTTTTAAAACATTATCCCATTAGTGAATGATAAGTTTATTTTTTACTAATACTAATAGAATTCCCAAAAATACATGTGAAGGATAAAAGATATGTGATTCAAAGCATTCTCGTAATACGCAACTTCGACATAACCTATAATATGAATATATTATAACATTTGATTGTAAGTACAGTCAGCAACAAAAATCGTTGAATACATTTCCAATGGCGACGGTCTTTGTAATATAAAACAATACTACTTGATGATAGAAGTCAAACGTATTAGACGGGTTTTCATTAACTTAAATATTTGTTTAACTTTTTTATGAATTTCTTTAGTTGAATAATATGATTGATTGAACTCATATTTCTATTTGTCAATTATAACTATAGTAGTAGTATTATTTTAATTTTTCCTGATATCTGGAAAACTTATCTGGCAACACTGTATGGTAGAAATATTTAAAAACAATTATGAGCAAAGTGACTACTTATTGATCTTTCACGACACAGAAGGTTTAGGGAAGCTGGAAGCTGCAAGCTATCAGTATGGCATTTATTTTTTAACATACTTTTTTGTCTGTTACGGATGTTTACATTTAAAACACTAAATGATATATATGTATAACACTGTCTTCCAAATCACTTGATTGCTCGCTAATATACAACAGTAAATAAGGTACAAGACAAGATTGGGAAAGTACAGTCAGCAACAAAGTAACTTAATTTCTAGAATTTACAGAATCCCGTCAATACTCTTTAAATGCTGTTAGTATCGCTGCTAACTGTGCTCACGCCATCTTGTATTTTGATAAATGATCTCAGGAATAAAAATCGTCTGTAATTTTAACAAAAACAACACGAAATTAAAATTTAACCGGATCGGTCGGATCACATTGAAATACTTCGACAGGAATAAAGCATTTTTTAGAATTATCAATTTTAATAATTTAACATTTTTTTCATGTTCACAATAATTTATACAATTCATTACAATTCATCGTCGAAGATTGCATTGTTAAAGTAGGGTGAAGGTTATTTATTTACGTTTTATAACGTCTGTGTCAATAATGATGTTTGTAAAACACAAACATCAAGGAGTCTAAAAGAGTTACGAAAAAACTGGGCAACACACTGGGGCATGCGATGCTTACGTTCTAAGATACCTGCAGTTACTAAACGTCTTCCGGGTACAAAAAAAGGTCCTTCCCATCTCGAGATTCCGCGTCTAAACTATGTCCACATATACTACAAGAAATTGATTATTATAATTCCGCGATTGATTTCAAATAGACAAAGCCAAAAGAGTTTTCGTTCCATCAGTGCTCACATACTCTGATAGTACTGGTGGCTCACGGTATGGCTTTAGCAAAATATTTTTAAGTGAGTCTCTTTATAAGTTTATATATTTAGGCGGGATTGCAAGGTAGAGCTTTTTTTATGAATATGAGTCTCATTTTATATTACACCCTGAACTCCCTCCAATACCTTCAGAGTGTGTGCTACGAAACAAAATGTATTTTGCTGTCGTAATGATATTTATCACTCATACTCATATAAAACAGAGACCATTCTGTGTGCCTAAATAAATTCATTTTATTATAATTTCCCATTGTAATGATACACTGTTCTATTCTGGTTCCTTTATACTGGTACTCAGAGAAACTGATTGCTCTGGAATTTACTCACAATTAATATAAGAATATTAGTAACTTTTGTTTTGTTTTTATGTATGATATTTATTCATTAATTTTATCATGTACTGATGTTAAAACGTACATTTAAAAATTTAATTTATACCATAGACATTTAATTCTTACAACACAAGCACGCATTTATACGTGGAATTACAATATAAAATTGTAGCCAAATATATTTATAATAGTATAAAAATCTATTATTTAAGATAGAAAATTTGAAAATAGAATAGTCAATATTCATTTGTTCACTTTGTTTCTTCTTATCGATGTTGAATTGTTTTTCGATGTTTATTTATTTAATGATATACATTTACATGTTTTCCATCGGATGTTTGTAACAAATCAACGACGTCAACAAGAAACTCAACAACAGTTTAACACTAAATACTCACTATATTTATAATATTATTTAAGCGCAAGACTATCTTCTTATCGACGCGTATACATAAAATTCAAATCAAAAGAATATAAATTTATCTAAGAAGCTTGTCTCATGGCCAAATCAGTCCAAAGTCCATGCAATGTAAAAAATTTCATTGCAATGAGTGTCATTTTGTTAATTTTCGTTGACGTAAATCAGACATCTGAAAAGGTAGGCAGCTCTTGTATTTGTATACAGCTGCAGCGGGGAAATGACTCTATACGAATGGCGCGTTATTTGCATTTAGCAGCTAGCCGTAGTTTACCTAGCCAAGCTGTAGAACACTCCTATTATAAAACTTATTATGATAGGCAGTTTCAGACCACCGTCTGATCTTTTAAGTGAAACTGAAACATTAAAACAAAACAAATGAAAATCTCGATAGGATTTTATCATCGTGACTGCTTAAAATTAAAACCACAGTCATGTCTTTAAAGTCCAGATAAATCAATTAAAATAGTTAAAAATCTGAGCACGTCGTATTATAAAGCTATAAAACATTAAACAAGTGAACTATCATTATAACAATGATACGTTCAACTCGGAAGACAATATTCGATTAACTGTTAATATCTCTATATACAGATAATTCTTATACTGGCAACACTCAGATTTGAGTCAATTTTTTTAATAATTTTTTTTACCCTACTGTCGCCTCCACTGTTTCGGGGTAATTTTAATAGAGCCTTCACCCTACACAATGCGGTACTTAGCAGCACTACTCAATAATATACACCTTTACTTTAATAGCTAATATTATACCACTTGTTCGGAATCGTCCCGTGTGCTTGCAACTGCCTCAGTTGTATTAGGCGTTACCTGACTTCTATATAATTTTAAATTGGAATCCGTGTAATCTAAAATTTTCCTACTGGAATGTCTTACATATAACATTTGTTTGTGGTAAATTTTAAGTGCCCCTTTAATGGTAATATATGTGAGCCCACCTAATATTGTCCTGTGTAAATTATTTTGTATGGAACGGAAGAATATCTTGCCTATAATAGTGGATATGGTAGGTAGTAGTAACGCTGAGCAGAATATTCTTGTGGGTGATAAGTGGTTGCTCGCATTGGGGTTTTGGTTGTTAATGTTTCCAGTCACTATTGCACCTCTGTCGCCTTCCACGCTGAAAATATTAACAATTTCCCATTAATAATAGTACACAACAACAAAAATGGGAGGGCGCTTCACTTAAAACTATTTAAAAGTAAAAAGCCAATTCCATATTGAAGCTTTCTGTTTTTCTTTGACTACCTTTGAACAATTAAATTAGCATAATAATGTACTTTAATTATACAAACTACTCTCGACAATAATCACTTTTGTATAGTCATTTGTTAGAGAGGCAACCCTTGCGGGCAATGTAGATACTTTAACATATTATACATATGTAACACGCGCATTCGTTTTCGATCAAACTAAATCAAGTTCAGTAATTTAAAAATGTACTATTGTTATTTTTACCTAACATAACAATGTTTTAATATTTATTGTAAAATACTTATGTAATACAAAAAACGTCTTTATGCATATTATTGTAAAAACAATGACCGCCTTTTTTTTGGTAAGATTAGTTACAAAATAATGCCTCAACACTCACTTGCCAAACGGTAGTATATAGGATAAGGCAGGTATCTTCGCACAATACTTTCTGAGGAAGAGCAGCACCGAGTCCTCCCAGTTGTACATCTTGGCGCTGATGAGCGTCACTGGAATTGTGGGAAGTAACACTAGTAGCACTAGTGGATCCGCGGACTCCATCATTTCTAAACCTTCTCTGTGACCTACCACCTGAAAGGGAAGGAATATTCTTATGAGGATTAAATACATCTTTAATTAATAATATTGTGTTGGCGTACTTATTGATTATACATTTATAATTAATTGGACATGTTTGCAGTAAACTAGTTCTATTTCTATTTTCCATTAAAAAGAAATACAGTAGTAGAAAGAAGAGTAGAAAACGATTCTGAACTATTTTGTCTCTGTATACGTAAAGATATTTTAGTATTAATAACACTATATTTTTTTATGATACAGGGTAGCAAAAGAACAAACGGGTCACAAAATATTAACAAAAAGTAGGTAAACAAAAGGGTTTATAATGATTTTCCAAGTTATAAGGTACGGATAGGACATACCTAATCCTGCCTTAAATGTAACTCGTAAATACCTACTCTTATAACTTGTAAGTTCATCACAAGTTATCAAACTGTAATAAAACAACAACAACAACTGCTTGCTGCATGCGGGGTCGGGCGAAGCCTACGGGCCTAATTCACTATTGATATCTGAAGTATCTTGACTCTGCCTACGGGTACATTGCCTTAAAAAATTAAGTAACTGACCTCAAATGAACACTGAATAACGTAGAGGTTACACAAATTAATATTAAATAATTGCTGACAATGTGTTAATAAATATTTAATTTAGCGATTAAGAAAAAAATACCGTTCCATTTATGAAAAATATTAATTTCATTCGCTTTTTGCGATTTTTTTAAAACATGTCAATTCCATCAGGTGTCGATATTTTGACATACGCACCTGACGGAATTGATTTGAATTAATCCTCGAATTGATTAATAAGATACCCACACCTGTTATATATATATATTACGAGATATGTTCGTGGCACCCTACTAAATTTAGCATTATATTACGAGTAGTATAAAGGACGCAATGGGAGAGGCATATGTATAATTTAGACCGATTTTTTATTACGGTAATTGGTCTTCAGAAGCAAAACTATGAGCTACTACTTATGTATATTAAATTAAAAATGAATAACGACATGAGTGTAACAAGATACATTAATAATCGACTCTACAGTTACGTCATTAATAGCAGAAGGAACGTTATGAGGAACTCTTCTATTCACTTCAAAAATTCAATATATTAGTGGAATAACTAGATTAGACGTTCAATAAAGCGTGACAAAATCTTTTCGTCACAGGTCTCACAAGTTGATGGTCATTTTATTGTTTTTAAATTTTTAAATCTTTAAACAATTTCTTATTTACATATTTAATTCTTTGAACTAGACGTGTACGTTTGAATTTTTATCTTACCTCAGAATTCTACTATTAATGAATCAATTGAAAAAAACCTTTTTTTATTGGGATAATCTGCCCAAGGAATGGAAAATAGGGGATTATTATTCTTCTTGTTTTCAATTTTTGGATTGCATATTTTGTACACTCATAAAATTGTGGTAAGTTATAAACTATAAAAAAATGTTTTTCACTTTACTATACAATAAAGTACAAAACCAAAACCTCCTTTCCAAAGAGAGGCCTATGTCCAGCAGTGGGCTATTAAAGGCTGTTGTGTGATGTGATACAATAAAAACGAAGTGTTTTAAAGTCGCTTGCTATGTATATAAGCAGAACAATACACAAATTACAACACTTAACTTGATTAACTTTTCCGACCTTTGTAAGCCGTCATTTCACCTAGTTTGTTAATTACGATATCTGCCTAGGTATATCTTATATGGTACCTTCTCCGCTCTATAGACAGGTGTATACAACAAATGCAAATGCGTTTAAACCAACCCAGTCATTTTTTGAAGTACAGCATAAAAGTACAATTTTGGTTGGTTGTCTGATAAAATCACTTTCGTTTGCTCAAAATGAAATGATGTATTTTACTTGCAAATTATGAATTAGTGAAATTATGTCAAATCATTAAATAAAAAATTCTGTAGAAACTGATGACATAATGCTTACGCAATATACCCTATTTCGATGTAAAACAGCTACTGATTATTAATTCTTATAATTTATCTGATACCTAAAACTTGGAAATTTAAATACAATACTGGCGACTTTCTAAACGTTAGCATAGAAATTCTCAGAACTATTTACACAAATTCGTATTAATATTTAGACTTAACTATGTTCCTAACTAGCTGTGCTTATTCTAATGTTAATACATTTTTAAAAGGCATTTTTATTTATCATCATCGTTGCGAAGTTGTTTGACTGGTTTCTTTTAAATAGCCGATGGCTACGTCAACCCTGTTTAGAAATATAATAATCGAAAACGATTAGGATAACGAATATACTATATATAATAACGATAACGAATTTCGAATAGGTAAATGGGACTAAAATTGTAGTAGCTCCAGAAGGCCGGAGTTGCGTACCTGTATGACTTGATGATGATGAAATTAATAAAAAAATAATTAATATTAAAATGATTACATTTTAATTTAATTATTTTTTTTTAATAATTTTAATTTTATACAACAGTTCTAGAGTAATCTTCTTTTTTAGTTTCTAACTTTCAAGAATACTATGGGGTCTGTACAGTGCGGGCGAGAGCACGTGTAGTTCCGCGGTCCCATTTTCGATCATGGAATCACACCAGAGACGATGTGTGCATCGAGAACTAGTTCTCGGCCCCGCAGAACCTTCTGCATATCACTTAATAGATAGGCTGTTCATAATGTTAGTGTAGTACTACACAAAACAGAAACAATAGCATTGCTCGATGCCGGCGCTTGCTTGTCAAGTGCCTAGATAATCCAATAATCTTTCTATATGCATTGGAGGTGGATTTTCTGATATCCTTATTTAGGAATCAAGTGGTATCACAATATCGATAAATATTCAGATAGTAACTGTATGGTCTTCATGTATCACCCATTCGATTAATTGCATCTCGTATGATACAATTAGATTCTGCAAACGAAATAACTAAAGTAACATTCATGTACAAAAGTTCTTAGTAAAGCAATGCAATTAGCAATCGTTGTCTAAAAATCAGGGTTTTGTTTGAAAAAATAACCGCCTTGGTACGCGACTAGAGATAGGTACCTATTGGCTTTCATCATGCGCAATAAGAACGCCCTAGTATTTCCTAAAGCATTTGTCAACTACCAGAGCTTCAAAGGATATATCCTTTACTTTCCTAAATAAATTATAGGAGATGCTCTAATACAAATGAGATTAAACGAACTTTATATTATGCAAGTTTTTCTTTTTACATTGTTTTGTCATGTCAAGACAAAATACACGTTGTACAGTTCCGTTAAAGTAAAATGTTATTAACCGGTAGTATAAGTTACTACAATTTACATAATGAAAATTTCACAAAGCGAGCAGGAAGTTCGATGAAGCGTTATAGTTTACATATTGCAAGATTCGTAGCGTCCTGTATATTGCCGTTTCATGTAATGGGTTGGATATGTTGATTACAAAAGTAAAACATGCGAGATTGTACTATCACTAGTGCAAGCCTGCTATAGTATTAGAACTGTTTACTAAATAGTATCATCAGAGTATTGTTTCCCATCGGCTTTTAACCTGTAATGAAATACTCGTATTAACAACTAATAACCGGTATTAACAACTAATGTGCTATTACTTTGAGAGATATAATAAAGTTGGTTTTTACCTTTTGACTGAACTGTTTGTTCAATGTTTTCTTTGAATCTATGGCAGATATTATTAACTCTTTATTTAACAATATCATCACCAGATAATGTGCGTATGAGACAGTTCCTAAAATTTAGATTTTTGAATCCCTGAAGTTCTTCCAAAGAATAAAAGATAGCAAGGAGATACCGAGGAGTTGACCTGAGAAGCAAGATATTGACTGTCTATGTAAGTGTGGTTGATTACAATGAAAAAACTGGCTGTTGACTAAGTACACACGTTTCTTGTTTTGATTTACTTTGCAATAACTTTATTATTAAAGTTCTGTAGTCAAGTGTATATGCTGTGGTACCTATGGTCTATGATATGTCTTTGTGCTTCTAGTTTCAATGATGCATTGTTTGGATCTTTGTACTTTGTGCTTCTGAATAGTCTATTCACAACACAACAATATAAATCATTTAAACCCATTGTATAACATCTTAGAGCTCCCATCGTAAGAGGGTCTAGTACAGCCTTAGCATTACTAATACCACAACGGATAGGATTATCGTTTTAGTATTAACAAGCTATGGTTTGTATATCCCACATGCATTTATAGGCCGACCATAATATCACTGATGCTGTTCGTGTTTAAAAATTGAGACCGCGAATCAGTAAACAAAAGGTAGTAAACCAGATTGACTGACAACCTTAGAAAAGTATATTTATATCAATCAAATCAAGTGATTTGATTCAATAAATCATTTTTTTTCTTTTAAAAGACAACTCCCGCAATAGGAATATATCCTGTGTTGCGGGGAACTACACAAACATACATGAAACGGATACAAATAACACCCAGACTCAGAACGACAATTTGTGAATCAAACAAAGTGTCGTCCCATGTGGGGTACGAACCCACAACACTCAGTGTAGCAGGAAGCAGCGTGGCGACCGCTTAAGCCACTAACCCCATCCGTGCAGTCAAAGTTATCTATGATGAATAGTGCAAACTGGTCTGTATTTTTTTTAACAGCCCTAATCACTCTTTTGGAGTTCTAGCTAAAGTACACAAAGCAGTACACAAACGATCAACTTGACATAAACTTATTTTTATTGAAATTTTATAATGAATTGAAAAAATTGTCAACTGAAGCAAACGTTTCCAACAAAGTTTTGTTTTCGTAGAGAATGTAACTTATGTGAAATAAAAAAAGAAAATAAAAGAAAGTCCTATCTTAATGTATGGAGTTGTACTCTTGTTATTCCTAATACTTTTTTTTTATTTAAAAAAAAAGACAACTCCCGCATTAGGAATATATCCCGTGTCGCGGGGACTTTACAAACATGCATGAAACGGACACAAAGTACACCCAGACTCAGAACAACAGTTTGTGGATCACACAAAGTGTCGTCCCATGTTGGGATCGAACCCACAACACTCAGCGTAGTAGTAAGTGGCGTGGCGACCGCTTAAACCACTACGCCAACCGTGCAGTCTTTCAAATTAGAAGTTCCAAATAGAAATAATGCTATTTTGTATAACATTTTAATAAAGAAATTGGTGTACCATGCTGAAGACACCGGTTCATTTAACAATGAAATGTGAAAACCTTTGAAAAGGTTATACAGCACAAAGTAGGTCAATTCGCAACAAAGCTTCTTGCGGTTTAACGAACGCACGACAAATTTTATAAGTAAACGTTAACGGTATACTTAAAACGGCATTATTTTAAAGAAAATTGCTACATACATGAGAATGATGATTACTCAGACACACACAAACAATGAAGAATAAAAAACTAAGTCAATGACTGATATATTATAATCAAGTATGTGATTATAATTTATTAGTTATGACAATTATTATAATCTTTTGTTATATTTCATATTCATTAATAATAATTATAATAATGATAATTAATATCGTTATGAACTAATATGGTTAATTAGAAAATGAGTTTTTGTTTGTAACGGCTTCAAGCTTTAACTTCTCAACGTGTTCATGAAACTTAACATTCACCAAGGGTACAGAAAAGGACATATAGACTTGTTAACCTAGTGGGCGATACTGGCTGCTAAACCAGAGATCGTGGGTTCGATTCGCACCTAAAATGAATTTTAAGTAGTGAGCACGACCATTTGTTCTGTGTCTGGGATGAATATCTATTACATGGCTGTATTTAGAATTATAATAATATTTTTATTTAGAAATTTATGTGCCCAATTAACTTGCCCTCTATTATGTACATAAGTGAGACTAAAATATTAGTCGGCAAAATGAAGGCGATTAATACGTCTTTGTCTACCCCGTTCGGGGATAAAAGACGTATGTGTATGTATGTATGTAAGTCATCATCATAAACAGCCTTTAATAGTCCACTGCTGGACATAGGACTCTTCTTAGAAAAGAGATTTTGGCCTACGACATTACGCTGGCAAGACGGGTTCATATGGGGTTAGTGTCAAGTTTTCATTCTCGTTGCGTTGTTGTGTTAGGTAGTTAAGTCGACTCTTACGACGTCCTTACTCGGATCTTCGACACCCACGACATGAATAGGGGTGGTGACAGTCCGTAATCTTAATCCGTCACCACACGAGGATGTACATAATATTTTTTTACTACTGCACTACTGTAACTACTACCTAGAGAAAAATACTTTACAAAACTGTCGTGTTGGCAACACAAATAACACGGTAAGACAGTACTGTTAATTTTTAGCAACCTAGTGTAACTGACCTGGAAATGATGAAAGCAAAACTAACATATCTAACTGTTACAACACGTTAATTGATTTGCAAAGTCACGGAAATCGTGTAAAAAAACTGATCGTGACAAAAAAAATGTGTCATAAAATTATTTTTGATGAAAATCGAATGCGTCATAAAGATACATTCGTAAAAGGTTATCAAAGTTCTAATAATGTACAATCAAACAATAATAATAATAATAAGCAACTCGATTATCTTGATTTCCTAGTCGTTAGATCGTTGATTACACATCTATACTAATATTATAAAGCTGAAGAGTTTGTTTGTTTGTTTGAACGCGCTAATCTCAGGAACTACTGGTCCGATTTAAAAAATTCTTTCAGTGTTAGATAGCCCATTTAACGAGGAAGGAGCGGAGGAGAAATAGGAGCGGAGCACCAATGAAGAATGTTTCAAAAACGGAGAAAATTTATTACTATTAAGAGACGCAGACGAAGTTGCGTCTCTTAATAGTCGTCTTAATAGTCTCTTAATAATCTCTTAATAGTTGTCATACTTTTTTTATCCATTTTTTTTTATGTCAATATATATTTTTGTACAATATATATTGAACAAAAACTGCAATGTATTGACTTCTGTGATTACCTTTTAAGATTGAAAGAAATATACCGAGTCCGAAATCTCCACCGAGGTCGTTATTTTCTTCTTTTATGTACAACCCAACCGTATATTGATTCTTCTTATAACAAAATCAATGAAAACTATATAATTGATCTTATGTTTTCATTTACTCCGCAAAATAAAGAAATTAGTAAATATGAAAATTATTGTGTTTTAGATGTTCGAAACACGTATCTTATTACAACCTTTTTGATTTCTTTACACCCTTAATTACTGCAATTTAATAAAAAAATAAACAACGTGTAAAAGAAAGCTATAGTCATAATGTAAACCGGCAAATAGTGGTATTTGTAATTGGATTGTGATTGAAAACAATAACGTGTTGTTGGTTTATGTTAATATTCGTTTTTTTAATCATGCAAAAAGCATGACTAAATAATTAATTAATAATTAATTAGTTAATAACAATGTCGAATGGTTTTATTAATATTTCTTTTTACACAGACGACAACAATAAAAATACTGATTTATATAATTTCCGCTCGTAGGTATTAGCAGTTGCATTCTAGAGTTTTTTTTATGGTATAGGGGCAAACAAGCTCCTCAGTGTCCTCATAGTCACCTGTTGGCAAGTGACTACCAACGCTCATGGACAGATGCAACTCAAAACATACAAGGGGGAGTTTTGTTTGGTCTTCTGTTAATAACAATAATTGTTATCATTGAATATTCTATCGAAATATTCATATAGTAAGTATCGAAATATTGACGACACGATTTACTGACAGTTAAATTATTTAATTTCGTAACTATCAAGTCGGTAACGGCAATAGTGTTGCGAGTTTAATAGTTTTTTCTAGACTTGCAACGAATATTCGGTTACTATTCGGTATTCGGCCTATTCGGCTGCTTTTATTATATTCGGCCGAATACCGAATATCTACATATTATTCGGCCGAATACCGAATACTTAAATAATATATTTTGTCATTGAGAAATAATTGGTAAAATGAACAATTAAAATCGATTGATTACGTATATATTCATATTTTCATTTCTGTTATAATCATTTAAGTAGTCATTGGTGCATAACACAGGTACATAATCATCTTCTGAATAGGAAAAATGGAGGATTCTATGTATTTGAATTATTGTGGTAATCAAAATTTAGAAGGGTAAGGTTCTCATTTCTTTTATAATCATTTATTAAGTAGTCATTGGTACATAAAACAGGTACATAATTTAATTCACGTCTGTACAAGTTTTTGGCGCTAAAATCCAGGCGAATACTTTTGCCTAATATTCGGCTATTCGGTCAGGGGCCTCGCCGAATATTCGGTATTCGGTATACTGCCGAATATACTATTCGTTGCAAGTCTAGTTTTTTCCCATCTCAAAAGATGTCCAACGCGCCTAAAGAAGTTTTCACTTCAATATACAGAGGTGTCGATAGCGGTAAGTGTCGCGATTTCAATGGTTTTTATCCCTCCTCTCAAAAAATACATTATTTTGTTTCTTGTTCAAAAATGCCCAACACGCCTAAAGAAGCTTTCATTTCAAAAAGTGTAATTACTGTTTATGATCCACTCATAGCTACATTGCACAGTTGCATTATTATTAAGAATGACTAAATCCATTAGAGAAACTCAATCTAAGTTCATTTCACCTCTGGCGCACGTTCATATAATTGCTTATTTGACTTATTATAGTTTTTAATTAAAACTAAAGGAAGCATAATTATAATGTATACAATAAATAAAATTGAAATGTTTGCAATCTCAAAATAATTGGTGTTTTTATGCTCACAAGTTTATTTGTACGATATCTATGTCTAAAAACCAGTCTCAATTTTTTTTGCTCGTCTGTTTGTTCCGGGTTAATCTTCAAAACAGTTGGACCGATCTTGATAATATTTTACTACCAAGTAGCTGTCCATATAAGGAGTAACATAGGCTACTTTTCCTCTCAGAAAAACCTTATACAAATTTTCCGGTACGGAAATCGCACCCGAGGCCTCATGGACTCCAGTCTTGTGCCGTACTTCACCACTAAGGCAGCACCAAATTCCACGCGAACAAAGTCGTGGGTAAAAGCTAGTCTTTTCATATAAAATTACTTGCCCTGACTGGCTGATGTAATTCATCAACGCAGAGGCTAAACCGCTAAAAAAAGAAAAACCCGAAAACCAAGCCGCTCAATACTATAGTATAGTATATTAAATATAGTAATAATATAGTATACTATATTAAATTTTTTAAATATATTTTATTAAAAATAAAGTCTAACTTTAGCGACAAGTACTGAACTCGATTAAATTACGTTTCATGCATTATACATAAAAAGTTATGATTTTTTATTATTATTGTTCATAACTCTGCTTAGTTTGAAACTAGATGGCGTTGTGTGTTAGATGTCCGAAAAATATTATTATTGCTATAGGCGCGTGCACATACTACTTACTGGATTCTTCAGCATGAGGTGTTTTACATCATTCCTAGACGTCATACTAGACTCACGCACTACATTTACATATATTAAATAAGTTTCTTTTTATTTCTTTACTAGCTGAGACCCGCGGTGTTACCCGCGTTTATTGTTATAACCGCGGGCAACGCTGCGGGGCGAAGCTAGTCTAAAAAAAAAAGTAGCCTAAGTTACTCCTTATGTCATCAGCTATCTGCCAGTGAAAGTCCCATCGAAATCGGTCCAGCCGTTCCAGAGATTACCCGGAACAAACAGACAGACAGACAAAATTTTAAAAAAATGTTATTTTGGCATATGTACCGTGTAAACATACATATGCATTTAGTAAAAAGCGGTTATTTTAATATTACAAACAGACACTCCAATTTTATTTATTTGTATGGATAAAAGACAACTCCCGCACTAGGAATATAGACTACAAACATACAAGGAAACGGACACAAAGAACACCCAGACTTAGAACAACAATTTGTAGATCACACAAAGTGTTGTCCCGTGTAGGGATCGGACCCAAAACACTACGCAATCCGTTCAGTCAATTTTCCGCGTATGCATACTAAAATATACTAGATCAACTTACTTGCATGACGGTGACAGCACCATATGTGATAGCGATCCAATAGATGGACCCTAATAGCACTCCACCAGCTATGAAAGGGCAGATCTTGTGAGTAATCTCCTCCATGGCATCCAGGAGTGCTACAAAGGCTCCCATGGAAGGAAACACCACTATATACTCCGCTTTACACTGAGGGCACAGGACCTTTCGAGTTATATTGCCTCGCTGTTTCTCATCTACCCACCGTTGGAGGCAACTCTGGTGGACCTGGAACAAGAGAAATTATAAAAATACATAAATAATAATAACGTGACACATCTCACACACTAGGCGTCTGTTGTCTGTTCCAAACTAGGCGGAGCCTGTACTACGGTAACCAGATTGCTGATAAACATACATATATATTTTGAAATACATACACATTATAGATAAATAACAGACAGACATCAAATGATCGTGCTCATTACACAATTATTTGTACTGGGTGGGAATCGATCACACGACCTCTGGCTAAGCATTCAGGGTCACTCACCACTAGACCAACAGGCCAGACGAAATAAATACACTTATTTAGTAAGAAGTAAACAATACCTGCGATTTACACAAACACTTGTAATCAACTAACAAGTTACACTTTAAATGTATAAATAAATTATTAGGTAATTGTACCTTGACGTCGTTAACACGCAAATGAACAAGGTAGCGCAAGGTTCTGAATAGACAGCGCCATTATAGTTAGAGGCAATATATTTCTCTATAGAGGTTACATTTAAATTATTATTTTTTAAATTAAGTTAATTAAATAAAATAAAAACTAAGATAGTGTAAAAATTCGGTCGGTTTCGTTTTAATTGTTTTATCAGTAAACACCCATATACAACATTGTGGAACAGCTTTTGAAATAAAGAAAATGGAGTTTAGTTCATAGATTGTGTATTATTTACTGCCCACTTCTGATCAGCTATTATTACAAAAATTGGTAAATGCGTGTCATAGAGCTTTGTAGTTTTTTTTATACGGTTTAGGGGCAAACGGGCAGCCAGGTCACCCGATGGCAAGTCACTACCGCCGCACAGTGGTCCGGATTTACAAATTTTTTGACCCCGGTTTAGTACCCCTGATAAACACTTTTGTTATTCTAAAGTGTATTTTAGAAGAGACAATAATCTAAAAAATACTATATTGTATTGAGATTTGGGTTTTAACATGGTAAAAACAGTAACAAAACCTTTAAAGTCAAAATTCGTTCTCAAAAGTTTCAGTGTATTGGATTGGCACGGCAGTAAGAAACATTTGTGCAAAATTCATGCTTCTAGACCCAGCGTTTTTAGGATGTGCGTTGTTCGGTCAGCCAGTGAATCAGTCAGTCAGTTTCTTTTATAGATTTAGATAAAATATTCATGAATCGTTCTTAATAAAATTGTAGTGCTGGTAGCAAGCGGTCAGTAGAAAAATAAAGTAAAACAATGAGCTAGACAAACACGACCAGTTGTAAACTAGTTCGGACTTAACGTACTATAATAATTTATTTAATTATGATATCGTCATTGCATCGATAATGAACTTAATCACTTATTCAAGGTAATATAATTGAATGTGAAGAACATTCAAATGGCTATTTCAACGAGCTAAGTCTGTAGGGATTCTTGGTGACTTTCTTGTTAAACTATCTCGGGATCCGTACAATAATAACTCCACACATCTCACACACGGCCGTGCAATGCTGATAAACATATTTTTATATTTTTAAATACATACATATTATAGATAAATTACACGCGGACACAGAACAAATGATCGTGCTCATCACACAATACTTCCCTAGGTGGGAATCAAACCCACGACCTCCGGCTTAGCAATTAGGGTCATTAACCATTAGACCAACAGGGCCGTCTAAATATAGTCTTACCTGTGACAGAACACTGTGTGGTTTTAGTCAGTTCGAGTCCGACATAGCAGTTTACCCTTAGTTCTGGTGAGGTGTTGACCAGTAAAGGTCATGACGAAAAAGGTTGTGTCTTTGACAGCAGCAGCATCGGAACAGAATAGACCCTACCTGAATCCCTATGTTTCATTGGATTATCTGTTTATAGGCATTGTTTTCTCTGTAAGCCGTTTAGTAATCATTATCATACTAGTTAAGACTCTCATGTTGGCTGAATTTCAAATAAATTACAAATTAAATACTATTGTTTTTATATAAGTACATATTATTATGCTCTTCGTCTGTTTATCGCTGTTCTATTATTCCATTAGTGAAAATTGAAAACATGTCATTACTAAAAAAAACTTATTTTGTTTTTATTATGAATTATTTGATATAATTTTAATAAGACTGGTTTTTCGTACGACTTCATTTAAAAAAATTGTTTTTCTCTAGGATTTATATTAATAACGTGCTCTACTTGCTCATTTGGCTTGATTTTATTGGAAGTGGAGTTTAGTGGAAGTGGAGATGGACTATAATTAATTTAAGCCATGCAGACCCATACTTAGACTAAGCTTAGATCAGTTATATGTGTGGACGGAGTGCCTCACTACAAAACGACTCAAACAATCGGACCAACCTTATTACGTTGGTGTAAAACTTAGTGGCCAATAGTTGACACTTTGTCAGTATAACTAGAGAAATTAATGATCTTAAGTTTCAAACCGGCCTTAGAATAGAATAATCTTTATTGTACACCAATTCAGGATATTATACATACAATAGTATTCCAAGTTAATGACCATGTACAAATGGCGGCCTTATCGCTAAAAAGCAATATCTTACAGGCAACCTTTGGTTGGACAAATAGACTGTAAATAGGTAATTTCATGGGCAGATTTGGTGAGAAAAAAGTGTAAAGGAAACTAAAAACAGAAAGAAAAATATTTATACAGCACAACAGCATTCTTTTGACAATTACAAAACAAAGTAGTGTTAATTATATACAGCAGTCAGTCCTAGCAATACCTACTTATATAAATACAAGTTAATACATAATTAATCTGTAATACATACACAAATACATAAACTCTACCATTCATTTGCAGAGGAATACAGCAGATAGGATATGTTTTGTAAATACGGTCTTACATCTATAGATAGGCTGATGATGATGACGATAAAACGTTAAAGTAGACTTGGATTACAATTATTAATAAAAATAGGAAAATAATTAATATTGAGCATCTATCTAATCGTTTATTTCACTATTATTGTTAATTGGATTTATTTTAGTAAAAAAAATTACATATTATTTGAGTTATTTAAAACTTAGCAAGGAATATTTAGCTAGCTTTATATGTACATTTCATGCATATTTTTATTCGTCTACTGCATTCCAGTATTTTAAGAACAAAGGCACAAAAAATTGAGCAGTCTACATACTCAAAATATTCTTTTTACTTCGAAAAATTAGATTCCTTATTCATTTCAAGTTTGTTTTCAATAATAAAACTAAACATTAAAATTCAAAGATTTAACGATACGAAAGTGATGACTGTATAAATAAATTGTAATTTCATACCAGTTTCTTCAGACAATAGAGACGTCTTAAGAAAAAAATATTTTCTGTAAGATTTTTTTTACATGTCGCATAGAAAAAGCCTCAAACAAAAAATCAAACATTCAATATTTTTCTTTTTAAACAAAGTGTATGCATCTCGAACGTCCTGATAACCTTGGCAGCATCACAATGAATATCTTACAAACAAGGAATAATGCACATCAATTGATAATATCAATATACATCAATGTCAAGGCACTTATTTTAAAAAATATTACTTCGGATCAATGTCTTCAAGATGTCTCTTTGTTACAAATAAATTTGTATGTATAGTATAAGTTACACTGATCCTAATCTTCGTCCTTGTGGTGACGGATTCAAAATCCGGATTGTCACCAGCCCTATTCATACCATGGGTGTCGTAAGAGCCGATTAAGGCAGCAGACTATGCAGGATAACAGCACTGCAGCAAACAATAAACTAACCCGTCCTGCCAGTGTGGTATAGTAGGCCGAAACCTCCTGTCTAAGGAGAGGCATATGTCTAGCAGTGGACTATTAAAGGCTGTTGATGTTGATGATAGTTTCATATCACTTTTATTTCCAATTATATAAAAAGGGGCAAAATTTAAGAGTAAACTGCGTGCGAACTGCACTAGGAATATATGTCCTGTATAGAAAGTCTTCACAAACAATGACGAAGCAGACACAAAGAACTCCCTAAACTCAGAACAACAATTTGTGGATCACACAATGTGTTGTCCCATGTGGGGATTGAACATTCAATGCAGCATAACGCAGAAATCTACTAACATTTTGTTCACCAGAATTGGTAGAATGTGGTTAGCATCTAAAATGTAACAACTAACAACTCTGTATACCCTGTATACTGATAAATAAATATATTATTATCTTTATTATTATTAAAGGTAGCGGTGAGGTGACCACTTAAACCACCACGCCACCCAGGCAATCAGTTTCATTAAGTTACAAAAACATTTTGTTGTGGTTTTTAAATGTTGTACTTCACAGTATTAATAGGGCAGTGAAAAAAAACTGTTATCATATTTTTTATTGGACCAGAACCAGCAGAGATCAAGAGGAGCACAGTGAAGAGGATTTTTTCAACACACTCAAAAATAAACTTTAAAACCATTGCAATAAAGTACATACATGTTTAAACATGACAAGAAATGTTTGCAAGGCCTCAGGCCATGCCATGCTCTCGGTCTGCGCCAGCCCTAAATCTGATCAATAGTTAGTAAGCAGAAATTGACAAATAAAAGGAGAAAGGTGTACCTACTGAACTGTTTTGTCTTTGCCTAGATATAGATTATCTATGAATATTGTTTTGGGTGATGCTCTTCTTATAAAATACACAAATATAAATACATTTTGCAAATGATTATCAAAGTATATTTCTTTGTATTTTTATATTATAGTTTACATTCCCAAACTTTGTTTACAAAAACATATTAGTTAGTAGAACTTTAGATAACAAAATAAAATCAATGTTGCACAAGTTGTCAATATTTTCAATCATATTAGTAACAATCCAGAATTAAACCATAATACTATATTTTTCACTCAGACACATAACAACCTTACCATTCAATTTCATGTTATGATGCAATATTATGGATTATGTGATGTTTTTATCTGACAATAATGATAGAGATGTATTAAAAATATCCACAAGGTCTCAATATTCCTATTAACATTTCAAATGCTAAAGTAACACTGTCTACTACACTTACACAGCTAAACTGCTGAACTGATTTTAATAAAATTTGGCATGGAGACACTGTGATTCTTGAGGAATGGCATAGGCTATTTTTTACCGCGATAACCGACACACGAGGGTAAAAGCTAGTTATTAATTTATTTTATTTAAAATTATATTTAGTTACCACTACTTTTAATGAAAAAAAACAATGAGTTGACCTCCTCAATGCTCGTTCATCATAATGAATTGTAGTAAACTGTATTCTTTATTTCTTAATTTTCCACCATAAATTTCAATGGGACCAAAGGTAAAGTATACCCTTCTAAATAAAAAAGAAAGTAAAGAAAAAGAAAAACAAATTCGTTCACAAATAAAGAAGTACTGAAGTAACAAACCGAGCATGATTTTTTAAAATTTATGGATATGTCTGTAATCTCATTCATTACTTTCTTTTGCACCTATTTCTGAATACTGACACAAACCCCCTAATAAATTACTTGAAAGATTACAGCTATAGATCAAAAGTATTTTAAATTATTGACAGAGTTATCCCCTAACTGCTATAAGTCAAGGATCCTACCTTCATCAGCTCAGAAAGATAAAATCATTATCTTATGTGCCACCAAATAATGCAAATACCTATATGGTTTCCCTAATATAAAGTCACAAAAAAATTTGGAAAAATTGTGTAACATACAAAGAAATTCAAATTACATAAATATTATTAAATACAATACAATAAATAATGGGTGTAAGTTTGATGTTTTACTTATAACAATCATTTGGCTGCAAGTCTATCATCAACATTATCATTAACAGCCTTGAAAAGTTCACTGCTGGACACAGACTTCTCCTTAGAAAAGAGGTTTTGGCCTACTATACCACGTGGGCCAGACTGGTTGGTGTAGGGTTTGTTTAAAGTTTTTCTTGTAAGTTTACGCCTTTAATGAAAATTGATTATTTGCCAGCAATAAATATAAATAAAATGAAGCATTTATTTACAAACAACATTCTACACACACTATATCATAATAACTGAAGTTAGAGCACAGAAAAATTATTCTAATTGGAGAGCTTTTAGAGAACAGTGGTTTACGCAGAGGTCAGCACCACTTTAATTGATAGTCTCATAATTCTTGCATATTATGGGCACAGTTACACACAGGTTTAGCAACATGGGAGTGAGAATACTGTTGTGGCAAATGGTTTCAATATAATACTTACTATCACGCAAAAAACAAGTACAAGAAAAACAAAAATTACTTGTTACCATACATTTGAAACCTTTTTACAGCAAATACTATAAAATATTATTTATTCTTTGAACCCAATGTGATGCACCCACTTTGTTAAAGTTATAACTTGTTTACCTTCATATTATAAACATAGTAAAAGGCAAAGAAAATATAAGTACTTTCACTTCCTAGCTTTTATATCACAAATCGGAAGTACACGTAACGGCGTCTAGAATTACGATGCTTATTAAAACTTACCCATTTTGTGGTGCCAATACATTTACAGGGCTGCACCCATGCCGCCAGCCTATCGTCGGCTTCCGTCGCAAAACACACCCAACACGACTTCGAATTGTCATCTTCTGCAGGCTGCAATGCCTGCGAACTTCCTGTCACCACACTTGATGTCTGGGGTCCAGACACTGGCTTTTCACTAGACATATTTTTATTGCGTCTTCGTTAGTCAAGGAGTCTTAAAATAGAGGGGTGTACTTCAACACTTATCAACAACAACTGAATATATCAGCGACTTTATAAAAACAAAACCATATTTTTGTCCAATTATGATAAAAATACTTTTGTCAACAGCTGTTTTTGTATGCAATGGTTTTTGGAAATTTCGTTCGTTTTGACAACCTTATAAAGTGAATGTCTACTGATACTAACTGAATTTGAATGAATGTGAAGCTGAATGATCACTTTTGCACCGAATGAATCTTAATTTATTGCCAGTCTAAAAAAGGTGTTTGTTGCGTTCCAGTTTCTTTAACTTAATTTTAAGCATAAGTATCTGCTGCTTACGGTTTTTCCACAAAGTACTTCTTCCTATTAAAATAAAATAAACTAAAAATATAATATATCACTATTCGTTATAAAACAAAGTCAGTTTCTCTGTTCGCGATAAACTTCAAGGGCAGCAAAGCACTTGTGACTTTTAAGTTGCAGGTGTCCATGGGCGGTGGTAGATGCTTACCACCAGGTGACCCGTGTGCTCGTTTGCCCACTTATACTATACAACTCAAATATTACTAAACTGAATTTAATGCAGTTTTTGGATGGATTGGCTTTGAAATTGTCTGTCTGTTTTGAATCTGTGAAGCTGGGGCTTGTCACTAGTTCATTATACGCCATTGCATCACAAATGTAAGGTTCTTTATTTGTCAAAGTCCACTAAACTTATTATGCACTAGCTGCTTCCCGCAATATCTCAAGAAAACACTAAATTAATTTGGAATGAAAAGTAGCCTACGTGTAAATCCAGAGCATCAGCTGCCTCTGTACCAGAATTTTACCAAAATTAGTTCAGCCGTTTGAGTAACATAAAGAAAAACACACAAAATTTCGCCTTTATAATGTTAGTGTGACAATATAATATAAAGCTTTATTTCTCTACTCTCTGTTGATTTCTCGAATAGGAATGGTATTCCTAATTATAAATATTTATTATAAAAGTAGAGGACGACTAAAGAAAAGATAGATGAACCACGTGTTAGCATTATTGTCAATTACTTAACATTCTAACTTATCAATTTGAATAACGATGCATAATAATTACTGTCTTGCTTTAAAAAAAAGCTAAGATGTCTTTAAAATATTTCACTGGTGCACGCGCTACTTCCGGTTAGTAATGGAAGAAGCTAAAATAGCGCGTGCTCTAGTCAGTAAATATACGGCGGATGACTTGTGGACACATGAAAGTATTACTGGAATAAAAAGTAATTTAAGCAACAAGTACCTATTTATTTCACGGTTTCTTACACGAGTGAAAAATATATGGCTAGAGAAAGAGTAAACAGGGAACTGACGAGTTATAGAGGCGAATGGAAGAACAAACCTCATTTGACACTCGACCAACCCCAAAGAAATTTGGGAAAAGAGTTAATGTACGATCTCAGATCGTACATTAACTCTTTTCCCAAATTTCTTCTACCCACGTCTGGCGGGGTGGGACGTGCGGTGTTCGTGTCAAACATATGCATTAACATGTAAATGTCCTGAGTGGCACCTGAGCGGAGCGGGGGCAGCAGCGTGGGTGTAATAGTAAGTAACGATTTTCTCCTGAACATGACGTATTCTATCAATTTCTCTACATTTTCATAGAAATCTCATAAAAATGTCATCATAAGAACAACATAAACTGTCAGTTCTGTTGAAATACACCACAGTGTTTAGTAGCTTTTCTTGGTGTGTATGGTTTATTTTATATAATTTAATATTTTATGTAAAAAAAGAATTGTCTATAAACAATTTGAATTAGCTTCCTCTTACAAAAATGGCTGCGTCTTGGTATGTACCTAACAAGGGTAACTTTCATTTGTTTTTAATAAGTTTTGTTATATGTTTTGCTGTTTCCTTTCACGCTTGCTGAGCTTCCAACTAACATAATTTTCACTAGTTCATAAACAGAACCATAGAAATATAACCTAGAGAGAATCAGAGCCCCAATCTTGCAACATAGGCAACGAGAGAGATGGATAATAGATAGTCCCCTCTATATCTTTCTAGTCAAGCTCTGTGGTTAGCTGGAGAATATGAGGGGTTAATAAGAAGCCAATTACAGCTTAGCTAAACAGAGACACAGGGAAATATCGGGAATCCATCTCTCTGGTAGTCTGTATCTCTTCCACCTACAGGCAGATGTACTGTTCTCTCTCATCTCTCAGAACCGTCATCTTTTTGTCACTCGTGACGGGTCAAACTTGTCATTTTATTTTTTGTTTGGCATTGGTGTCAAAAGTTTTTTTTTTTGCATTCGTCCTAAAAATTTGCCATATTAAAAACGATACTTTCTCAAAACTACAGTAATTTCAAATTGTATTTTATAAATTAAAATATTAATTCTTAGGAAATCTATAAAAAAAAAAATGAGTTCATCGCTACTGGAAGTCAAATCACACACACACATGTTCTCTTTTCACGAATTTACTAAGAAAATGTTAGAAAGAGAGAGGAAAGATGTAGGTTTCAGAAAACAAAACTGCTTCTTTCTGATTCCGTCTGGCAACACTTGTAACGGGACAAATATTAGGCTGGTGGCGGCTAAAAGACTCTGCATAAAATAAAATAAACATTTGGCCCAGGTTAGACATGGACATGATTGCTACTTTTAAATCATATTCTTTTGATAAAATGATGGTTTTAGTCACAGCGATTTCACATGTGATTTTGATTTCGTAATAGACAATGATAAATGGCATTAAAATCAATCAAAAATCTTTTCATCCAAGATTACGACCATTTTCTTGGAACGAAGTACTTTATCGCGCATAATACGCGGATTCGAGCGAGACCGAAAAATGTGTAAAAAACGAAAGGAACTTCGTTCCGATCGGGGGTCCATAGACCCCTCACGACGTTGTCTATTTTTTATTTAGACCTTTCGCGATGCTTGAGTTAGCTTAATAATAAAAATTAAGTAGCAGTGGTTTTGTAAATCAGTCACAGGTGTGTGTGGATATACCGCAGTGTAGTAGAGTAGTGCGAGATACCACCCCGACGGCAGGCATCAGGTGTCCTACTCTAGGGAGGAGCCGGACCATGTTATTTCAGGTCCTCCTCGAATTGACACCATGCCTAATCAGGCCCTATCCCAGGGGAGAACACTTCCCCCCTCAATCGCGGCATGGCGGCTCGATCGCTTCTTAATGCAATCCCCTACTGCAGCAATCAATCTGCCACCAGATGTCCCCACTCTCTAGCAGCCCGCGGCCCCGTCGACGGCTGTTATCGTCGCCGACGTCCTCTGCGGAATCGGCCCTCTCCCTATCCCATTCAGCGGTCTCTTTCTGGAGCATTACAGATTCTCAGAAAAAGACCACTGCGAACCATCCCTCCTCACCCGCCAGCATGGCAGCAGTAATTGCTGGCGGGGACAAGTTTCGTCGAATTTGGCCAACCAGGACTGCGCCTTCGCCCACACGGTTCTTCCAGCGTGTGCTGGGCAGAAGGCTGGAGCCCTGGGGCGGCGATGTCTAACGACACCGCCAACAGCACGCCACTGCAGTTCATTACTTCTTCGGTCGCGATCCTGAGGCGCAACAAAGCGCCGTTCGTCGAATGCCCCGCTCGAAAACCAAATTGGACGTCTGACAGATAGGGGCCCACCTCGCAAAGGAGCCGGACGATGCAGGCAGAGAGAACCCTCTCAAATAATTTACCTGTCTCCTCCAGGAACGCCAACGAATTGGCAGGCTGTCCTGGCTTCGTTAACAAGACCAGCTTGCCGCTCTTCCAGCAGTCAGCCAAGCCAGTGTCGAACACCACCCTAAGGAGGTCTGAAATGGGTCAGACATTGTTTACAGGTCCAGGGAAGATTTGTAAGCCTTCAGCAAGAGCTGAATGTAGCTTTGTATATTGCCGGACAGCACGACTGCAGCTATGTATTGGTGGTTAAATACGACTTAGCTTAGCTTAGCGACTTTTAGCGAATTTTAAGGGAACGGTTTTTTTCTAATCTAGAGGAATTTTAGAAACCAGCTATTGCGACTTTTATTTTTGTTCAACGGCAACACTGCAGGTTGTAGATAACTGCAGATAACAGATAACGGCACTACTGTGTGGTCCAGGGTCTGTCAACTTTGTTCTTAGAACAAGATGTAGGTGGGCTTGAAAACAAGAAAGAGACAACAACATTAGAGTAAAAGAGATGAATTATAAAATGTTGCCACCAAAATTACAATTTCGTTTTCTCCAAAACAATGAGCTAAAAAAGAAAGTCACCCTTAAAAATACATTTTGTGATTATTCTGATACCCAAAAAAATTATTTTGCTAAGAAATATAACATATTTAATTGATCAATACACAAAAACAAAAAAAAGATAAGGGGGAAAATGTGTGGCAACTACTGGCAACACGTTTGACGTCACAAGAAAAATGTCTGCCTGCGGTTCCCGCACCATTTTATCTTGTACCTATGTTTATTTGTAATAAATAAACTAGTTGCATTTAATTCTACATACATTGTTACCGTGAGTCGAGTTTGCTCCTCCGTGGCTGTGTTTTGGTGAAATTAAGTGTGTGTTTGTGAGATATAGACTCGGTGTTGAGATAGTGACTTGTTTGATTGTGTGTTTAATTTTCGCAATGAGTTCGCAGAAAGAAAACACTAGAATCTGTTGCATGTGTGGATCTTCACCTTCTAAAGATTCCAGCATCACTTTGCATCGGTTTCCTAAGCCTGGCTCAAAAAATGCTCTGCGGTATGTACCTACCTAAGTACTTTCCATGCTATTCGTTTACATCCTTTAAATCTCTTTCAATCAAAGGAAATACAGAAAGTTTAGATTGTTATTTAGATAAAACTTAATTAAAAATATGATTATTAACCCTTTCCCCCCGGGGTAGTGATTTTTAACAAATTTTCGCTTTTGAACTTTATTTACATAATAAGGTAAGTAAAACGAAACGCACAGATTTTTTTTAGATTTTTATTATACCTAG